TACTGCCCTGCTGCGCGTCCATGTGCATAGTTGGGCCTTCAGGTGCATGGGAGAGCATCTGGGGGTCCTTTTTAAAGCCCTACTTCGTCCCCCACACCCCAAAACATAAAAACTTACTCTAGAAAGGGAAGCTCTCAATAACCTAACTCTTCAAAGGTCCCTCCTCATCCAAGGTAAGTTCTAATGGTGATTCTAAGTTAAATTCAATTCTCCAACACCTTATTAACATGGTTAAACCCTCCAAATCATTAGGTATTCGATTGGGTCATCATGGTTAAGAAAAGAAACCCTAGAACTCGAATTCAAGAGGCTTGAACTTCATAAAGGTAATATCTTCACCCTCATGATTATAGACTCCAAGTTTATGAGATATGAGTTGATGGATTTGATAGAAAAGCATGAACGGTTATATATTTGGGTTGTTTATTGTTGATTATTGATTAAGAGTATTGTTTATCTTATGGGTGATGAAGAATGATATTGATTATTGCAATTTGAGATTTTAGAATTATCCAGGAGCAAGAGAATGGGTTGTTTGGTGTAGAAACACCACTAATAAGGGCTATGAGGCTTTACACCCATAAGGTATTTAATTAAATGCCTAAGTGACAAAAACATGAGTATTATTGCTAATATGGAATCTTTTTTGACATGTATTGATATAGATAAAAGTTGAAAGGGTTGGCAGATGTTGTATTACGCTCAAGAGTAGGAAATTAAGGTATGTGAGGATAACTCTCTATGTTTTGGAATATTAATGATTCTCCCTACACTACATTTATTTTATGACGTTATTAATTGCCTCAGAAATATAGTTAAGCCTAGTTCCTTGAATAGTTGCAGAACTTCTATTATCTAGCTTCATAACTTATTCATGACTTTCATTATGAATGTTGTGAGCTCAGTGTATAATTAATATAGACTTGGGTTTGATGCGCATGAGTCTCAGTCTAGATTACTTAGCATTTAATAAACATTTAAAGTTTCAGTTTTCATAATCAGTTCAAGAATACATGTCTCAGTCTAGTCCTATTTAGTAGTTCAGTATCATGTAACTCAATATGATTTAGTATGTCAGCATCACATATTGTAGTATGATTCTTAGTTCCTAAATTTAAATCCCTGAATGTTGAACACTTGTATTTGGGCCTGAGGTCGTAGTTTATATGCTTTATGAATATTTGGGCATGAGGCCGTTGTTTATGCTTTATGCACATTTTGGCATGAGGCCATAGTTGATGTTTTATGCATTTTTAGGCCTGAGGCCATAGTTATATATATACGTATACTTGGGCATGAGGCTGTAGCTTGTGCGCATATATATTGGGCCCGAGTTCGTAGTTTATTCTGATAAACAGGTTGTTCATCATTCAGAAGAGGGAGTAATCATATCCTTACTTCCTTTGTTTAATTCAGCTATTAGTTATCATTTTAGTTATCAATTATCATTTCAGTTATCAATTATCTCAATTTCAGTTTCAGTTTCAGTTTCAATAGTTATCAGTTATCATTTCAGTTTCAACAATTATCATTTCAATTATCAATTCTCAGTTATCAGCTTAGTATTAGTTTTGGCATTTATAGTTCTTTCTTTCAGTTTCTTTACGTACCTGTGCAATTCAAATGTACTGACGTCCCTTTTGCCCGAGGCCTGCATCTCACGATGTAGGTAGTGATTTACAGGTTGACAATTCAAAGCGCTAGGATTCTCGTACCAGCTATTTGGCTATCCCCAATTCTTTCAGGTCATTATCATTACCTTACAGTCTTCAGTATTTTCAGACAATCAGTGTTTTCAGTACTTTAATAGAGGCTTCATAGGCTAAAGAAATAGTTAGACAGAGTCATAGGTTTTTCATGTTAAGAAATATTTGCAGCAGATATGTTTCAGAATTATATTAGTGTTTCCACTTTTTGATTTATATCATTCAGACTTTAAGTATATCGGCATGTGCTAGTTTATCTTCCGCATTCAGTATGTTATGATATTATTTGATGATTCAGCCAGCCAATTGGTTCATTCGATCATATGTAGTCAGGCACCGGGTGTCGTGTTACGTCCAGGTCCAGGTTCGGGGCATGACAATAAATACCTTTTCAAATCCTTCAGAGCATGTTGGCATTCCAGAGTCCATTTCAAAGTTGTTCTTCTTTTTGAGAAGTGAAAAGAAGTGATGACATTTTAACTAAGATCGGGAAATGAATCTGCTTAAAGCATCCTGTCTTCTTGTCAACCTTTGAACCTCTTTCACATTTGATAGCTGGTCAGGGATGTCCTCGATCACTTTAATTTTATCGGGATTAACTTTGATCCCTTTTTTTGACACCAGTAATCTTAAGAATTTACCAGATCTAGCTTCGAATGCACACTTTTCGGGGTTAAGCTTCATGTTCTTCTTCCTTATGATGTCAAAGGTTTCTTGCAGGTGTTTAAGATGATCACATGCGTTCAAAAACTTAATCAACATATTATATGTAAACTTCCATGGTTTTCCCAATTTGTTTCTCAAACATTTTGTTTACAAGCCTCTGGTAAGTGGCTCCGACGTTCTTAAGCCCAAAAGGCATCACATTATAGCAATATATGCTGAGGTTCGTTATGAATGAAGTTTGTCCAGATCCTCCGGGTTCATCTTGATTTGGTTGTACCTGGAATAAGCATCAAGGACACTTATCAACTTGTGCCCGGCCGTCGTATCAATAATTTGATCAATGTTTGGCAGTGGGAACGAGTCTTTCGGGCACGCCTTATTTAGATGCTTATAATTTATGTACATGTGAAATTTATTATTCTTCTTTAGAACTACTACTATGTTAGTTAGCCAATCAGGATACTTTAGCTCCCGGATTGAACCGATATCAAGCAATGGAGTTACCTCTTCTTTGATGAATTTGTTTCTGACACTGGCAATAGGGTGTTTCTTCTGCCTTACGAAGGATGTTAGGATCCAAGCTTAACTTGTGCACGGCCACTTCTAGCGGAATACCTGTCATATTCGCATGCGACCACGAAAAACAATCAATGTTATATTTAATGAATTCTATAAATCCTGACCTGAGCTCGGGGTTTAGTCCTGTCCCCAAGGGGAACTTCCTCTCCAAGAATCTCTCAAACAATGCGACTTGTTCGAGTTCTTTCACTGTAGATTTGGTTGCGTTCGTTTCTTATGGTGTACCTAGAAATATCATGGAATCTGATAGGATTCCAACGACTCCTCCCTCTTTTTGTCTTTGTTCGGCTCGGGAGTAGGTTCCAGTTCCTGTAATTGCTATGCTTCATGCTTTTTCCCTTTGCTACTGGAAACTGAGATCACATTGATCTCCCTTGCTATCGGTTAATCTCCTTTTATTTATTTAACTCCCTCCAGGGTTGGGAATTTCAAGAGTTGATGGTATGTTAATGGCATAGCTTTCATATTGTTTAGCCATGGTCTTCGAAGAATAATATTGTAACACATATTGTCGTCTACTACTTCCAAAATGGTCGTCTTCATTGCCCCATCGGCATTCGTGGGCATCAGGATTTCCCCTCGGGTTGTTATGCTTGCCAAATTGAACCCGGTGAGGAGCTTTGTGGCCAGAATAATACTTTCGGTTAGCTCTGCTAGTTCTAGCACTCTCAATTGGATAATGTTGGTTGAACTCCGTGGGTCTACCAAAACACGTTTAATCTTAAAATCTAAAACACTAAGAGAGATTACCAAGACATCGTTGTATGGCAGTAAGAGTCCATCTGCGTCCTCCTTTGTGAAGGTGATGTCGTCCTCAGCGACTTCCCAGAGTCTCTTGCTATGGGTCACCGATACCTTCGTCTTTTTCATTGCCGAGAAAGTTACACCATTAATCTCGTTCCCCCCTCCCCCCGAAAATCATATTGATTGTCAAGCGAGGGGGATCTTCTCCTGCTTTCAAGGGTTCCATATTATCCCTATTGTGACCATAGATATTTTTAGCCCGCTCACTTAAGAACACTGTGAGATGTCTGTTTTTCAACAATGTTGCCACCTCCTCGCGCAGATGTCGGTAGTCCCCAAACCGGTGGCTGTTGGTCCCATGGTACTCTCACTATAAATTAGGATCCTTTTAACTGGGATAGGATCTCATCGGCCTCGGGAACTCTGCTTCCTTAATGTTCCTCACAGCCGACACTAGTTCCACCATGCTGACGTTGAAGTTGTAATCAGATAACTTGGGGTAGGCAGAGTCTCCGGAGCCCGATACCTCTTTTTCTGCAATGATCTATTATTCCGGCCGCGTTCAGATCTCCTATCCGTAACAAATCTATCCGCCGACTGGAAACCTTTACTACTTCCTTCGGCCCTTTCATAGGGCAAAAACTGACCTCTAGAAGACCGCCAATCTGTGTCGAATTCATCCTTTGATATTTCCTTATTCTTCTCTTGGTCTTGACCCTTGGTTGATGTCAGGAAACCGAGTTGGTCATCCTTATCATTGACTCATAGTGGTTGTATACATATGCCACGTTGTTACTTGGAACTCGAGTAGACTTTCTTTCAATTTCCAGGAAGCGTCGGACACTACAAAAAAATGGGTAAATTTCGGAGTTTAAAATTGCATTTTGTGGAGGTTAGTAACCTCCGCTATTTGTTGTCACATTGGTTAAGCAGGCCCCTGCAGCAAGCATCGCCACTATTAATTTGAGGCAGATAAATGCGGCGGTTTCCCGAACCGCCGTGACAGCAAATAGCAGAGGTTTGTAGCCTCCGCAAATTACAATTTTAACATCCGCAATTTCATGCGCGAAAGTAGTTATGTATTTTTAAAATTTAATTATTTTTTGAGTGTGGGGGTTGTAAACCCCCGAAATTTCTTATGTGTACATCATAAGATCTGCTCAATTTCTCTTTGGGGGTTTTAATTATCCCCATCTACTTTTAAATATATATATATATATATAGAATTGATTTTTTATCATCAAATTGCCATACCATTTCCCTAATATCAGTTAAAATATTTATGCTTAAACCAAAACATTAAAATTAAGAAACATCAATATTTTATTAACCGTAAAAATACTATGACGGAGTAGTATCATATGTCATCAAGCTAAATTAGAACATAGTTAGCCGTCTATATTAGTCAGTTATCACATTGTCCTAATACATCCACTTCAATTAAAATGAATCTCAATGGCTGTCACTGGGATTACAAGAGCCGGAAGATCTTCTTTCATCCGTGGGTGAAATGGGTACATTAACTGCATCACTTGGCTGCATCAAAAAGTAAAAAAAATACAACTATTAAGAGGATTTTCAGAAAACAAGTCATTGAGATAAAATATATGTTGAGTAACTAGGAATGGTTGTATTAGCAGTCATAACTGGTTGCCAAGAATTTTTTGGAGCTCTTAAAATACTCATTATAACATTGATAATAGAAAGAATAAATAGTTTTCTTGGTTCTTACTAAAAAGATTGAAAAAATACAAAGAATTTGAAACCCCAAATGCCTATGAAGGTGAAAACTTGGAAAGGGGAATGTGAAATTAGAGATTATGGTATAAACATATTGCAAACTGGGACTATACAACTAATGTCTGGATTAGTGAGCTACTTGGTTTCTCGTATATTCCTATTTTCCCTTCATCCCGGTTTCCTGCACCTACGACTATTCAACCAGCAAATTCTCTACTTTACAACTGTCCATTGCAGATGAAAACAGTGTGTGTGAATGTGAATGTGTTCGGATAAAACACGAGACAAAATAAAATTGCACAATATACCAAAAATAAAAGAACTTAGCATTTACCGTTGTAGGAGTAGAAGCAAAGATCCCGGCAAATTGTTCTGGTATTGACCCTTCTTTCATTATCATGTATTCTTTGAGAGTATTCATCAATTGATTGTACTTCTCTTGGCATCCAGAAGAAGAACATCCAACATTATTACTCACAATTCTAATATTACCAGGACGAATATTTGTCTTTCTAAAAGTATTGCTTGGAGTAGCTCCTAATCCCAAATATCTTACCCTTCCAGGATGCTCTTTGCCTAGCACCTTACCAACAACATCATTTGGAGAAATTTCAAACTCATCCACTGTACTTTCACTCAATGCTAGCTCAATTTTGACCTAAATACAATACACATCAAAAAAATCTATTAACTAGAATTAACAATTGCCTGTAAAAATTAATCCAAACCAATACAAATAACATGTATTGAACCAACTGGAGGAAAAATATAATAGATGTGGAGTGCCAAAAACTCATGGATGGGGTGGCCAACTCAATGTAAATAGATTCAAGACAACTTATCCAATAACAAGTTTTAAGTCACATAAATCTTTCAAGGTAATAAAAAAAAAGGCAAACACAAAAGAACAGCAATGTCTTAAGAGCCAAAAAGACTGAGGTAAACCAAAATTGAATTATCTACACTAGATATTACCATCTTGTTAGCACTAAGTTTTATTGTAACAACAACAGTGTCGCCTACAACAACAATCTCATAACCAAGAAAGAGAGCCCATAACATGAAATGTTGGCACAGTTTTAGTGGACAAAATTCAAAAATGAGCAAAAGAACCTCTTAAATCAGGTATGTATCATACGATTAACTAAAAAATGCATCATCCAAAATCAAAAGCAGCAAAACAAATATTAAAAAGCAGAAAAAGTACGATTCTAAATATGCAAATAGCTAGAAGTAAAAACAAAAACAGAACTCTTTTCAGACTTAAGAATAAAAAACTTATCAACCCCAAAATGCATGTTCAGTAATTGCTCTAAAGAGAGGGAGAGAAAGAGAACAAATTTTGTCTTGGAGAGGGAGTGGGGGAATGTGATATTAAGAAACTAAACCAATTCATCATCAAAAACCTTTGCCTTTGCACATTTTAATTTTGTTGAAATTAGGGTTTTAATCTCAATCGCCAAAAAAGAGAGAACAAAAATTGCACCTGTTTGAACTCGCAACAGAGAACACGATAGAGATGAGAACAAAAATTGTACCTGTTTGCACCTCTTTGTTCAGCATAGAGAAGTTAAAGTGCCCAGGTTTTGTTATCCCCAAATTCAAAATAACTTTTGGATTTGAAGCTTTTAAGGTTCTAAATGGACTTGGTCTCACTGAGATGGATTAATGAAGAAGAAGCAGTGAAAAAGAATAAGCGGTCTCACAGAGTATTTTGTTGTTGTTGAGGCGAAAGTTTCTAGGGCAAAAAAATTTGGGGAAAAAATGGAGGCAGTGTAAAATAAATTACCCACTATTATTTTAGGGATGCGGAGGTTTTAGACCCCCGTAAATTGTATAATTTTCTGGGCATTAATATATTGCCACAAAATTATGCAAATTGTGGAGGTTACTTGTACCCTCCGCAAATAAACCTCTGCAATTTATCCGTTTTTTGTAATGGGAAATCCTTGGATTCAAATCTTTGGTAAATGCTTCAGCTGCCCATTCTTTGGTACGGCCGGTAGTAGCATCCTTTCCTTCTGAAATTTGGTCACGAACTCCCGCAGCAATTCGGACTCTCCTAGTGCAATCCTTAATATATCGGCCTCTCGGGCCTGTGATAAAAAAGAGTCCGCGAGCATCTCGAAGGAATCTATTGAGTGCTCGGGTAAAAGTGAATACCATGTCAGGGCCCCTTTCGTGAGGGTCTCCCCGAATTTCTTGAATAAGAATGACTCAATCTAGTGCGGAGCTAAGTCGTTTCCCTTTACCGCCATTATATAGGTGGTGATGTCCTCCCGAGGATCTAAAGTCCCATCATATTTTGGAACGTCTGGCATCTTAAACTGCTTCAGGATCAACTTTGGTGCCATGCTTGGTTTGAACGGCAACTGTGTGTATTTCTTTGAATTTGATCCTTTCAGTCTTGACGGTGCACCCTGGATTTGGTCCACTCGGGCGTTTAATTCTCTTATAAACCACATGAGTTCGGTTTTTAAGCGATCATTCTAATTGTTATTACCGGATCCGCTATCGTTCCCTCTGGCCTTGTCGCCTCTCGGGGTATTATTATCAATCATCCATGTTGTTTGGTTTGTGGGAGAACCGAGAGGAACTAGGCCTCGTCCATTTGCATTGTTGGAAGCACCCGACAATGCCCGCCTCAACTCCTTCATGACTAATCGTGTCGCGAGAGATTGCCCATAATAGCCATTTGTTTCTCCCTCAGGGTTCTTACTATTTCCGCGACATGCTCCATTTCAGCATCATCAAGAGTTGCCTCCCGAACATTTCGTAGATATTGCCCGCCATGGACCTGTGTGGCCTCATCCCTCTCATTGAGGGTATTAGTGATCGAGTCTTCGTGTTGAGGTTAATTTCCTTGGGCCTCAACTTTGTGTGCGATGTTGACATCGTTATCTGCCATATTTTTATGATTTCTTACTTAAAAACAAAGAATCAACAGGTTAGTAACAGATGCAAGGACCAACTCAATTATGCAACTATCTAAGCCCCACGGTGGGTGCCAAACTATTTACCCGTAAAATGGTACGGTTGAATTTATACATGATTTATAGACAAGAGAATCGATTTGATCCTAAAATGATAAATAAATTAAATAAGAAATCAAGAGTTAGCATTGAAATCAAGATAAGACAGCAGATGACTTGGTTCTGGGAGCAGAGCTTTTGTAGACAGTAATAACAATATTAATAAGCAAGAAATAAAATTTTATTGAGCTTATGAACAGTATATAGCATGAGTTTGTTAGAAAATTTATCTCCTTACAATGGCTGTTGAACTCACTATTTATAGTTACACCTAGGGAACAAGGTCCTAAGATCAAGCCCCTCTTAAATTATAATTATGGGAGCCATTGAAAAATGTGTAACAACAGGCTATGAATGTTATATTCCTTGTAACAGATTATGTACTTAATGCTATAGACTTACCGGGTGGCAGGCATTTTTTGTCTTTATGAGCAACATTCCCTTTGGGGACAACTGAGATTGTTGCCCCTGGAATTGATTTCCACCCATCTCGCTTTCCATCTGTCTCTGGTTCCATGTGTCGCTCTGTTATGCGAGTATTTAATATCAACATATTTTACCCTATACATCTCTAACATCTTATCATAAGTACAAGCACTGAAGTGTAGGCACAATAGCAGATGTTCCAAATGAGAAGCTCAAGCAATAGCACTATGTGCATTAGTGCATACAATTCATCTACTAAAGAACCATATTTGGATCTTGTAGATTATATGTTTACCCGCAAAATGGTGCTATTAAATTTGTTCCTTAGTTTATAGACAAGCGAATTGATTTCATCCAAAAAATGATAAAAGATAAGATTAATATTAAGATTAGCGATTGAAATTGAAGAAGATAACGAGCCTTGCTCTGAACATAGTGTCTTCGAGAGCAAAAGTGAAAATAACGATGAAGTGCAAATAAAGTTGTTATATCGAGAGAGAAAAGTAGGAAAATAAAGAGTTTGTATGTAGAAAGTTTCATGTCCTTACATTGGCTGCTGAGCCTGCTAATTATACCTTTACCTAGAGAAACAAGATCCTAGGATCAAGCTCCTGTTAAATGATAATAAAAGAGTCGTTGATGAACGCGTAACAACATGCCATAAATGCAAATATTCTCTGCAACGGTCTCTCATTTAATCTTAGTGAATATTTCTTCATTGAATGCTATCCGATGTCAAACCATTGACCTTCTCCCGTCGACTAAACTCCCTTTGGGATTTACCCGATATTAATTACATTTGTTGTATCCGGTATTGGTTGTTCCCTGATTGCGCTTTTCCTGTATTCGATTCCACGGGTCATATTACCATTCGACCATCCATTATAAACCAATTATACCCCATACAGATAGGCCCCGTACTTTCGGTGACATATCTTAGTGTTACCGAAAAGTTGGTAAATATTCCTTTTTTGGTGGGATAGTTCCTGAACAGCCTTTAACACTTGAAAGGATGCTCATCTTCTTACATTTAATACCCTGAACAGGTGTTGCCCCATGATTCAATAAATATTTTCTCTGATTTTTTAGGTAATCATTACCACGATTTTCGTCGTCTATACTTCCCTGCTACTCAACATTTTTACTTCTTCACTTTTAAAACTCTCACAAGTCTTTCTTCTTCTCTGTATTTGCTTAGAAACCTTTCACAACCTTCAATTTTCTCAACAATAAATTTACTATCCTTTTGTTACCACGGCTTCTTACACTGCTCTCTTCGCAAACACTGGTCTTCTCTTCGGGAGAGGCCAGAAAGAAAACAAGGACAAGGAGGTCGATGCCGATTCTAAAGTTCCCACTGTTAGCACCATCACACCACATCATCTCAGCACCATGAGCAACTTTCAAGAGAAGGCTCCTTCTGCATCTTCACAGACTTGGCCAGTTAGTAGGTATCCTTCCTCCATTCGCCCTTCTAGTATTCCAACTATGAAGGAGGACTGCAACTACCCCAATCTTGAAATCCTCGCTCCGGATATGATAGAGCGTGTTATCTTCTCCAAGGAATGGTTTATGTATGCATATACATATCCCTTTACCTTGGGTCCATTCTCCTTATGGTCGAGTGAAGGGCTCGATCCAATAATTTTGGTGTTTTACCACCGATATCAGGTCTGATTAGAAAAAGTAGGCATCTATATGACGGACGGTGGCCTGATTTCTCCAACTATGCATGGAGACCGAAAAACCCTAACCCTTGCACACATAATAAACATTTACTCTCCTAAAACTTTTCATGGGGGATTAATAAACTATAGCAAGCATGACCACCCCGCTCTCCTCATCAGCATAGACGATGACAATGATCGTGGATGGATGGTACGATTCATCATCATTGCTACCGCGGGCATCATCCCAGCCAAAACTCTAAGTTTTCACGAGTCGTGGAATCGCTTTCGTAAGTTTTCGGCCATTCACTTCCTTCCTTAGTGAAAAGATTGTTTCCGTTGTTGCTGAGTTTCTTATTTCTTTTGTTTCAGCTACCCGACGGAAACTACCACGGGTTCAAGGCTTGAACCAGTAGGTTCAGAAAATTTTGGAAATTACGACACCAGAATCCCGCGGGTGGAAAAAAATGTCCCCCAAATACAGGTGGAAGGCCAAGCACCATGGTAAGTCAAAACACCATTTCTTTTACCCTTGTTCGAACATAAGTAATCTTCATGAGCAAACTACTAACTCTATTTTTGGCCCAATACAGGACTTTTGAGGGTCTCTGTCATCTACCCCGAGGTCGATGCCTTAGTTGATCCCGAGGAGGCCAGGAGGGTTTTGGAAAATGCCCTTGCCTGGATTAGAGCTCGCGGATATGCTCGAGCTACTAGTGAGGGTGCCTCCTCTCGAGTCCCCAGCCCTAAGGCAAGAAACCGAAAAGAAGATGCTCCTCCTCGACTGGGACTCAAGAGAAAAAGGCAAAGAAAACACTATCCGAGCCGGCCACAGTGGTCCTTGTTAATGAAGGGGCAGCCAGTGATGAAGAGGCTACCCTTCAAATGAGAAAAGAATCTTTGTCAGCTCAACCAGATGTTCAACCGGGAAAGCTTCAAAGCCCAACATTTGAGGAAACCTAGGTGCTTTGGGGTGAGATGAACTTGGTCAAGAATGCCTATGCTCTATTCCCGGACCCATTGCTGTCTCCGGTCCAAGGAATTCTGACCCTAGGCCTCTTCTGCCCCCACCCATTGAGATAATATCAACCAGCACTGCTCCTGTCACAGCAACTTCTCATCCTTCCACACCAACAACTTCATGTCCATCAACACCAGCTGCTCCTTCAATACCAGCACCAATTGCATCACCTCCACTGGCAATATATGATCGAGAAAGGGATGTTTCTCCTTCTCAGTCTCCCATCCATGAAAACTTGGGGCACAATTATTCAACCCCTTCCCTGGATGCTCGAGGGAGGAGAAGTGCCACTCTTTTGGTTTCGAAAGAGTGTTATCTTTTATCCAAGCCAGTAAAGCTTTCGAATTATCTGAAGCCGCTAGCTTCGGAGAAGGATTGGAAGAAAATGTGCTCCCTTTCTGGAAAGTGTCTGATAAACAATGCTATGCATGGTACATCACAGGTATCATACTAGTTTCGCATATCTTCTTTTCTACTTACATGTTGTAATGGTAATCCAAACTTCACCTTTCTCTTTACAGACCAACTTTCTTGCTTCCGAAGGCCTGCAAAGGTTGATCCTTGATAAGCGAGGACTTGCTTTCGAGCGATATCAACTCTTAGCTGATAAGAACTAGCTTGTTGCTCGCCT